ACCCCCTTTAGGTGGGAGTCCCCACTGGGGTGCCTGGCCAGTCTGGGTGAGGGGCTGGGGGCCATTTTCAGGCTGGCTGGCGACTGAAGCTCCCAGCCTCTCCTTTTTTTCAAAAAAATTCTGGGATTTATTTACCTTCTATAATTGAAACTTTGTTGCCGTCACTGGAGCTAAGAGCCAGCTCCAGCTCCATGGCCAGGCTGAAAGCAGGAATCTGGGGTTTGTTTAGCGTCTCTAATTGAAACTTTGTTGCTTTTGGAGCTCAGAGCTGGGCCACAGCAGGCGGGGAACCTTGCTTCCTCCATCACTGGAGCAAGCAAGCCTCCTGCTCGCTTTAGCTGCGTGGCTGCTGGCCACCATCTTTGTTGGTGGTTAATTTGCATATTGCCCTGATTAGCCAATGGGAAACGTAGCGAAGGTATGGTCAATTACCCTTTTTGTCTTTTATTAGATAGGATGTTAGGCATATTTTGGGGTGACACATTAGGGTCCTTTACTACTTTTGCAAAGAACTTGCTTTTTTTACTGAGAAAAAAATTTTTTCTGGTACTGTACCCAATTCTTTGTTCTTTTTTTTTGAGTCTTGATATTGGCCCCGCTCATATCCTGAGTATGGGCTGGGACCCATGTATTGTATTTACTAAAACTCAAATAAGCTTTTCTGATGTACAAACAAGATTGAGAATAAACTTGTAATAGCTTCCAATTTTACTTGGAGGTTTCTCTGAGTCTTTACTATGTTAAATGTATTACTGGACTCATTAGGGGAGGTATTTATTATGTAGCCTTAAGAAAGCTTATTTAACCACAGACACTTTAGCTTTGGGAGCAGAAATTAACACTTCCCCCAAAACAGTTTGACAGTGACTTTTTTTGTTTTAAATCCTCACTGGAGGATATTCTTTTCCATTGATTTTTAGAGAGAGTGAAAAGGAGGGAGAAAGAGGGGGGAGAGAGAAACATCATTGTGAGAGAAATACATGGACTGGTTCTGGTTGCCTCCCCAATAGGGTGCCCTGAACTAGGGAGGGGAGAGTAAACCCACAATTGAGGTACATGCCCTTGATGGGGAATCTAACCCTTTAGTTTGTGGGTTAATGCTCTGACCACTGAGCAAATCTGGCCAGGGCTGACAATGATCATCCTACACTTTCTCCAGGTCATCTTGACCATCTCAGATTTCAACCTAGACTTGTGCTGCACAGCCCCCAAAGTTGGTGATGCGTGCTTTGGTTCTGTAAACTACTCATGCTACGTGATCCTGAATAGGGCTCTGTTAAAGTCTTTTCCCCCCCTGGAGACTGAGCTTTTGTTATGGAAAACACTCTGGGGACATTTTCCAATGATTTCTAGTCCTCTTTTTCCTTCCAGAGCCATAAAGGGGATCTTTTTCAACTTTTCTCTGAGAATTTGGTGGGGTTCCTGGAGGTAAAACTCATGAATATGTGTCCCCTCTCCAAAACTGCAACTCTTAAGTTTCTCACTCAAGCCAGTCCACTCAACCTTTGTCAAATCTACCATTTAAGTTTATGGCTCTGGTGGATTTTGCTTCAGGTAAGTGGATCTGAACTTCAACTCTGGATCTGTCTACCCAGACTTTGGGGTGGCAATTTGCCAGGCAGCCTCAGTTCTCTGCTGGGTCCAAGAAACGCCATTGCTTTTCAGCTTTCTCATCTTTTTTTGTTGTTTGTTAAGGATATGAGTTATAACTTCCAAATTTTTTACACATTGGATCTGAAACTGGAAGTCTACTATCATAATATTAAAATAGGTTTTTTGTAGACCTCTGTAATGGTTAATTTTGACTGGGCTAATGGATATCCAGATAGCTGTAAAACATTATTTCTAGGTGTGTCTGGGAGGGTGTTTCCAGAAGAAATGAACATGTGAATCAATAGACTAATTAAAGGAGATTGCTCTCACCAGTGTGGATAAATATCGTCTAATCATTTGAGATCCTGAATAGAACAAAAAGGGAGAGGGAGGACAAATGTGCTTTCTGCTTCAGCTGGGACATCCATCTTCTCCTGCCATTGGACATTGGTGCTCCTGGTTCTTAACCTTCAGGTTTGGACTGACATGTATACCATTGGTCTCTTGAATTTTTGGCCTTTGGACTCCAGCTGGAACTTACACCATTAGTCCCCATGGTTCTCAGGACTTTGGACTCCAACTGAATTATACCACCATCTTTACTGGTTCTCTAGCTTGCAGACAGACGACTGTGGAATGTAGTCTTCATGATCATGGAGTCAATGGCCAATGATTCATTCTATTGCTTCTGTTTCCCTGATCAATACAATCTCATATAGTTGGGTCCTACTTTTTAAAAAAATCCAGTCTGTCAATTTTTAACGATTATTTTAAGTCATTTACCTTTAAATTTATTATTTGTATAATGTATTGTTTGTATAGTGTACTACCTTTGGGTGGGGGAAGCCGGGGAGTGGTCAATTGGGGAAAAAGGAGACTTATGTAATATTTTAAACAATAAAGAATTTAAATAAAAAATTGTATGGATTAAAAAAAAAGTATGAGATATCTTTCCAGCAAAGGCAAGTGAATCCTTGATCATATACCATTACACTTGATGGCACAACTAGTTTAGGATTCTATGAGCTGCCCTTGGACACTCTTAATAAATTATTATTATTATTAAAAAATATATACTATCTTGCTAGCTGTTCTCTATTAGTTTCATTTCTTCTATGTTTCTTTTTCCTTTTTTTTGCCTTCTCTAATTTTGCTGAGCATTTTTGAAAAATCATTTTATCTCCTGTATATACTTATTAAATTTCTTTTAAAAACCTTTTTCATCATTACCATAGGGTTTACATTTTGAAGTATGAATCTACCTTCAAATAATGTCACTTCATGTATGGTGAAAGACTAAAACAATATGACCTTGATTCCCAGTACTTGTTCGATAGTTACACATTTCACTTCTGCATATGCAATAAATATCAACACATGGTTACTATTACGACTTTAAACACTCGCTTTAAACATCTTCTGGTATGTTCAAAGTAAGGGGGGTGCAATGACAATGTGGAAAAAAGACACAATGAAGAAACCCTGGTAACTGAGGATGTATAAGATACTTTGGAAAGATATTTCATAGAATATCCATGCTGATGAATTAGAAGCTATAGACTACATCCATAGGCATCCAAGAGAGACTCACAGGAAAGATTGAGAAAATCACTGCTCCTCAGGAGTCTGGATGCTTAGTACAGCCTTCATTTCTTGTTGACTTGGTCTCTAAGAATGTAGGAGGTAGGTAATTCTGAAGTGAAAACGATTTTCAGAGTCAAAGGGATTAAGGTCCTCTGAATAAAATTGAAAGCACACTTATCTGCTCTTCCTCACAGTTTTGTCATCATTGTTATATGGTGTAGATCTACAGAATGTTTCTTGACAGATCATTCTGGCTTTGTTTTTTCATTTAGTATGACACACTTTTAGGCCTTGCTTCTTCATCCATTGTAAAAATCTCTGACTTTTAATTGAACTGTCTAATTTATTTGTACTTAATGATATAATTGGTATAATTGAGTTTAAATCTACCAACTTTTGAAACTTTTTGCTTTCTGATGCAAGATTGGTTCAATATCTGCCAATTAATTAACATGATACATGACATAAACAAAGTGAAGGATAAAAATCACATGATCATATCAATAGTTGCATAAAAAGCATTTGACAAGGTCCAGCAGTCGTTTATGATAAAAACTCTCAGCAAAGTGGGAATAGAGAGAACATACCTCAATGTAATATATGACAAACCCACAGCTAACATCATACTCAACCAGGGTAAACTAAAAACGTTTCCCTTAAGATCAGGAACAAGGCAAGAATATCAGTTTTACCACTCTTATTCAACATAGTCCTGGAAGTTCTAGTCATAGCAACCAAACAA